TTTAAGATATAATGTCCATTAATTAATTCGATCACTAATAATCAAGAATTAATTAATATATTATATTACCGAAGCTAGCGCTCGCTCATAGCTTTCATATTATACCGGAATAAATCCACCTGCAGTGTTTAGCATAATATTCCTTCATGAACTCACTTTGGGGACATCATCATACTAACGCACATGGTGACCGTAAATATTCTAATAGCACATCGAACACATAATGTCATTACCCAATTCATTAAGTATGTCGACCCGGATTGGATCTCACCCAAAGAATCAAAGCAACAACAATTATGTGCACATGCCAATTTAATATCTTACGGTTTAAGAGCACGCAATAATTAACTGAGGCCTAGTTCGTTTACGACGATCAGTATAAAACGAACATCCCTCTCTGGGATCCTGTTCAATACATAAATGTACTTGTGCAACTAATCGGTCAAGACAAACCGTACGGTTGACACTACAACCGTTCCGATGGGTTGTTCAATTCCATCTAGGTTGTGAACCAATGATTCTTGTTTCGCAAGTAACTGATATAGTGATCTTCGGTACGCCCGATGACGACCCACTTATCTACATGCAAAACAACAGAACGTGGAACTTATTTAACCAAACATAATTCTCATTCATCAAGAAATAACAAGTGTAATATCCACTAAAGCAAAGCTTAAGTATATAACACCAACAGACCTCCCCTCCGACCTCGGGGGCCTGTATATTTATATCCGAGTTAGCTCAGGATGGACCGAAAAGATGTCACCTACCAAGGCCCGGGCTGAAGACCCGGTCTGGCACAGAAGTGCCGAGCTGGACCAAGAAATTAAATACCAAGGACCTCCATAGGAACGTTCTTCGGAGACCGACACCCGGTTCAGTGCATGCACAAGCCGACCGCGACGAGTGTCGGGCTGAAAAAGGAATCCTGGGCGTCCCTAAGTGTATTCAAAAGAAGTGTCGACCAGAAGACCCGAAGCGGCCCTCTTGAAAGAAAGGACATGGCTTGGTAAACATTAAAATATTCCCACTTGGAAGGACATCATTGGATGATGGGACGGAATGTCATAGTCTACTACCCTACATTAAAGCTTAGTCAGAGGACCTGCCAGCATTAAATGCCCTCCATGCTCGCATTAAATGCCTGACAGGTAATGATTGAAGAAACCTCAAACCGCATTAAATAGTTGCCAAGGAGACGCCGAACTGCTCTGCAGGACTACTGTGCGACAAGACCAGTGAACAGTACCTGAACAGTACCTCATTTAAGGACACTATAAATAGCAACTCATTTCATTTATTTTGGGTTGTTGAATCCCAACTAACTCTGCCTTCTCTCTACTTTCTCTCTCTAAAAACTGTAAAAAACCCCTTGTAAGAATTGTAAGTATATCGCAAGTGCCGACCTCGTACGAGAGGCCGACCTCGTGATCGTTCAATAAAATCATAATTAAGCTATATCTTTCACTTGTTTTCTGTCCCGCACTTTCATTATTTACTATTTTAACCCTTGACCGAAAACGCTCGTCAACAATTGATATCCTAAATTTAAGAAAATATTATCGACTTGGAATTTAAAAGTTCGAATCGAAATTTTAGATCGGTCAGTTTATGCGTATATTGTGCAATGTGATAGTCATTTATATGCAATTCGTCTACCAATATTGTGCACTTACAACACAAACATCTTGAATGATATGTCACAAACCAAACTAACATCGAACATAAATGATCAATTTTTTTACCGATTAATCATATTATATTAAATAAACAAAATGATTTATTAATGTATATTATAAAATACATTTTATGTTTTAATATTATGTTTAATATTTTTTTTATATTTATGGTTGAAAATGCAATATATAAAATATTAGAATCTAAAAAGTGCAATCCAATAGGCAATAATGTACAATTCGTCTTGTATTATTGTGCAATCAACTGGTCGAATGTTTTTGTGCTTCAAATTTATAAACTTCTACAATGTGTATTTCGATTATCATTATTTTTGCATTTATCAATTTTTTTATATCGTAAAAATATATTTAGCATTTACATTTTTATTTAATATTTTATGGTTTGTTAATGAGTAAATAATATATAAAACTAAAATTTTAAAGGTAAAAAAGAGAATCGAACCGACATAAAAAGTGGCACAAAAATTTTGTTCATAGGTCTCGGTTGTTGTTTTGCAATCTAATTTATCTTATTATTTTAAGTAATAAATATATATTTAGTATTTATTATTTATTATTTAATATTTTATATTATTTATTTAATTAACCTTACATTGTATTTGTTATGCTAAGCTGCAATGTCACTGACACAAAAGTGCAACCCGTCCGTCAATAATGTGCAATATGTCCAATAACATCTTAATATTTTTATCTTCTTTTTATATAATAATTTTGTTTTTTTCTTTATGTATTTAAAATGATAAATAAAATTGTATACTTTATATACTTTTGTAATTTACAAATTTGACCTATGGGTTAAATTGTAATAAAAATAAAATTACGAATTTTACAATTAGATCCCTAAACATAATCAAATTTTCAAAAATAAACCCCCCAATTATAACATCCACAAATCAGCCCCCAATTCTCACATCCATACAAGTCAGATCCTCATCCTCCTCTTGTATCACCACCATCAATCCCGTCGGCGATGGCGCGAGATTCAGGTGGAGGCGGACCGTCCGACGAGGGCACTGTCCTAAGCTTTGCACCCTACAGCCGCCATGTCTGCTCCAAACGAATGGCGGAGGTCGCCGGCAATGAGCACGGGTCGGCGACGGATGGTTGTCTGCTGAGACGAATCGAAGTTTGGCCACCAATGAAAGGTCGCCAGAGACAGTTGTGACGGCCGACGAAGGTGCAGCGACGTGAAGGAATCGGATAATATTTTCATTTGAGTCGGACAGCGGCTAAGGCGAGGCAGAGGCGTGATGACGGCGGTGGGTGCGGCTTGTGTGCTGCCTGCGGTGACTGCCGGCGGCGGGTGTGTGTTCCGCCGGATATGTGTGTGTGTTGTGTGTGTGTGTTTGTGTGTGCTGTGTGTGTCGCGTAAGTGTGTGTGTGTGTGTGTGTGTGTGTGTTTGTGTGTGCTGATATTTTTTTTTAATAATATAATAATACATGTGTGTGTTAGTGTGTGAGAGAGAGTGAGTGGTGGGTGGATATGTGATGTGGCATTAAATTATTGGTGTGGTGAAGGTTGATTGGCATGATCCAATAATTTTATAATTAAAATGTTTAAAACACCCTTAATGAATAAATAAATATTAAATTTTTGTTATCATTAGATCACTAGATCTAATGACTATCATGTATTCTTATTTCTTTCGTAGAGCATCATTCTCATAGGAGCGTGACCCATAGTGTAATACCCCGTTTTATTGTGGATTATTTAGGAGTAATTATTGATTATTGCTATTATTAAATTGTCTTTATTATTATTATTATCATTATGATTATTATTATTATAATTGCTATTAACTGTCAAATTGCTATTATTTATTTATTATTAGTAATGTTGCTATTATTAATATTAATTGTCTTAAATATTATTAATTGTCAAATTGTAACTATTTGCCTAAATGCATAATTTTAGTATTAATATTATTATTTTAAAATATTGTGTGTATTATAAATATAGATAACCCGGATTAATTTATTACTCGCCGTCGATCGAGCATTCCTATATCACGTATATTTTATTTTGGCCCGAAGCGACTTAATTCATCGGCCTTGTTGCCATTCTTTTCTATCCAATGTAACTAATTTCGCGGCCCAACTCATTATTGATTTTTGGCCCAAATTGAGATGTTTTGCCTTAGCCCAATTAGAAGATGTTTTATCTTTGGCCCATTTCTTGGCCCAATTCTCCTTTATTATGCGATCAAGTTTGAGTAGAAAAAGATATTTTCCTTCTCCTTCTTCGCATAGACCAAGTCGTCCGCTCAATTTCAGATAGCGATCTTGGAGGAGATTCTCTTGGCTCGATCACGCTATAATCGTCTCCTCACCCCCTCAATCTGATCATTCTCACCTTATCCCTCTCTTCTACTTAAACCGTGCGACTCGATCAGTACTCCCAAAAATCCCTCATCTCCATCAGCAAATTGCACTTCACCATTGATTCCGGTGAATTCACCTTCCCTATTCGAGCAATCAGTCGCCAACGTCCCCTCATCAAATCAGCGTGTTCCATAGCCGAGGTTGATTCATCCGTCAGAGTAAGAACCTGCAACCAGCCCCGTCCTCCATTGACTCCTGCGAGTCCATCTCCGCGCAGCTCCACCGTCGCCGACCCTCAGCAGTCCAATTCCCGAGTTGTGCTTCGAGTTTCAGCCTGAGTTTTTGAGAAATTTTGAAGTTTTGGATCCGCTCGTTTGAGTTCCGTTCGTTTGGTCCCTTTATTTTCCCCAAGCTCGTCGATTTCCCGAAGAAAGGTAATCGGAGAACCCTTTCGTTTAATGACGTTCAGAATAATATTATTTCGTTTATTATCGCTCGCGTTGAATCATTTCGTTGGGTTTTGAATTCAGTTTATGTGTTGATTTGTATGTTCGTATATATGTTTCGTATATTCGTGGATCTTCGGGAATGATTGGAACTCTCGATTTTATAAACGTGTATACCGTTATGTTGTTTTGATAAATACGTCTAATTTTGGAGTCCCGTTTTGTTGTTTCGGAGTCTCGTTGTATTATTTGGAGTCTTGAATATCGTATTGTTTAATCGTCCAAAAACCCAGTTTTTACAAGCATTTCGAACTCCGAAAATGTGTTTAATTCATTCATGATGTAAATTTTTGAACCCCCAGTCGTTATTAGTTTAGTCCTGGTCGAGTTCGGTTAATTTGGTCCAACCCTGTTCAGTATTTTTCCAGCTTTGTTCTGTATTCGCAGAGCTCTGTCAATTTTCAAATTTTGGGCCTGTCTGTTCGATTCTTTTCCTGTTCAAAATTGCAGACTTTTCTTATAATTCAATTATCTATGTTTGCAATTAATGTTGCAAGCAAGTGTTTGGCACAGTGGCGTTGGACGCACTCTTTTGTGAGGAGGTTCGGGGTTCAAACCTTGAGACCTACGACCTTTATTTTTTTTTTCTTCAGCCTGTTGTCTCTCAAAACGCGCGGGCCATCAGGCCCGATTTCAGCCCGCGCGCGGCCCAGTTCAGACAGCAACCTCAGCCCGCGTCCGGCCCTCCTTCAGCCCGCGTGTGCTCAGCCCATATGAGTGTTGGGCCAGCCCTATGTTTGGGCCCAATTTCTTTTAATGCAGCCTAGAAATTTTAATTGGCACCCTAAGTTGACTTTTAAGCCTATTTTGAGTTCCGGAAGCCCGTTTTAATACCGAGTTTGATTTTAAAAATTATTTTCAAAGTAGAAAAATTTTGGGAAAAATTATTTTAAGTTCCGAGACCCCAGTTTACTTCTCCGAGTCATATTTTTCAAAAATGGGAGAGTTCCAAGTCCACGAAAAATTCGAGGAGTCGAGGCTCATCCTACGTAAATCTTAATATTTATTAAGTAGGGGTTTTATGTTAAACTCTAGTAGTGAGATAAATTATTTATAAATTATCTCGCTTAAATGTAGGTGTTTGAGGAGTGGAGCCTCATCCTACGTGCTTGCTTTTGTGTGCCATTTTCTACCGAAATTTCCAGGTGGGTTTAATTGTAAAAATTACTATGCTTTAAATGTTATTATTGTTTTAATTGTGGTATGATCAAGGTATGCATGTGAATCATGTAGCCTTCGGTGTGAGCTGTATCGGCCACCGGACGGTTTTTCCCCGTAACTATAGAACGTACCTTCGGGTAGTCTCCCTTGAGAAGCCGTAAGACTAGGGCTCAGGTCCCTCGGCCGGTGATCCTCATTGGTAAGTCCAAGGCAAGACCTTGGCCGGTGGGGTGGTTTACTCCTACTGGTTGGCACTCGATGTAGGACCGGAGGGCATTCGATATATAGTCAGCAGTAATCTATGCGTAGGTGTGCACATGAGTCTGATTATTGTATTATTGATGGGAGAATGGGATAGATTATTGCTTCGTATACATGCTAAGACCACACCTTTTGATTATTGATTACTGTTGATTATTGACATTAATATTTATGGCATAGCGGTGAGCACTACTGTTTCTTATTGTGCTCATCCCCACCTGCTCTTCATGGATGCAGGTTAGATAGAGCGGCACGACGGAGGGGATGCGAGTGGTAGTCTTTAATTTGAATAAATGCTTCCGCTTTGAATGGAACTTGGATATTATTGCATTATTATTGACTATTGTTTTTCTAGTATTAGATTATTGATAGGGATTACTTCCCTAGGATCATTATTGGATTATTGATTGATTATTGGGATTTTCTTATTGATTTTGAGTATCAATAATTGCCAAATATGGAGAAAATGTCGAGTATTGATTATTGATTTTAAAATGAGTAGCGCCTCGAATATTTTTTTAAAATAAATTCAAAAAAATTTATTCTGATTTTCGGTAAATAAAAGTGGGGCGTTACAGTTTGGTATCAGAGCCAGTCTGCGTTTCTGTAGATTGGTTTAAGTATAAAAAGTTGATTATGTGATTATGTGTTTCGAATTCATATTAAGACCACTCGCTCTCGTCCTGCCGCGCCAACTCAGGTATGAGTACCTGAATGACTTTGAGATTATTGCATATTGTTTGATTATTGATTATTGGAATGAAATCGGGGTTAGGGCTGATCCACCTTTAAATGCGAACTCTAGTGTCGAACTCTAGACTTCTTTTATTAATGTGTCTATCTTTGCGTTATGTGACACTGGAGCTACTCATTCCTTTATCTCCTCTCGATGCTTGGGTGCCCTATCTATTGATAATGTGTGCAACTGTGACCCTCTTGAGGTTAGTCTAGTCTCGGGAAAGATTATTATTTCCGATTCTATGATTTCCAGTCTTCCAGTCAGTATTGGTGGACGTGTTTTGGAGGCCGATTGCTATGTTATTGAAATACGGGACTTCGATGTGATCTTAGGCATGGATTGGCTCACTCGCTATCGAGCCGATATCCGGTGCCAGGAGCGCGAAGTCAGTCTCTTCCCTGTTTCTGATCAGCCTATTATTTTCTATGGGGTGAAGTCGAGGACTGTGCCTCAAGTCATCTCTTCGATGCAAGCTAGGAAGAGCCTTTCTAAGGGTAGCTGTCAGGGCTATCTGGTTTCTATAGTATCCGAGGACGATTCTGAGAGGTCCCCGGAGAGAGTCTCTATCGTCTGCGAGTACCTCGATGTCTTTCCTGATGAGTTGCCCAGAGGACCGCCCGACTGCCAGGTGGAATTCACCATTGATCTAGTACCAGGAGCCGACCCTGTTTCTAAGGCCCCTTATCGTATGGCGCCGAAGGAGCTTCAAGAGCTCAAGACCCAGATCCAAGAGTTACTCAATTTTGGTTTCATTCGTCCGAGTCTTTCGCTGTGGGGAGCGCCCGTCCTATTCGTGAAGAAGAAAGACGGATCGATGCGCATGTGTATTGACTATCGGGAGTTGAATGCCCTTACAGTCAAGAACAAGTATCCCCTTCCTCGCATTGAGGATCTCTTCGACCAGTTGAGAGGAGCCAGTGTATTTTCGAAGATCGACTTGCGTTCTGGCTATCATCAGCTGAAGATCCGGGAGTCGGATATTTCTAAGACTGCCTTCCGTACCCGTTATGGCCACTATGAGTTCGTAGTCATGCCGTTCGGACTCAGCAATGCCCCGGCCGTGTTCATGGACCTTATGAATAGGGTCTTTCATCCCTTCCTGGACCAGTTTGTTATCGTGTTCATCGACGACATCTTGGTTTATTCTCGGAGCATCGACCAGCACAAGGAGCATCTGAGGATTGTGCTGGAGACTCTTCGCCGCGAGAAGCTGTATGCTAAGTTCTTGAAGTGCGAGTTTTGGCTAGATCGTGTGGCATTCCTTGGCCACATTGTGACAGCGAGAGGCATTGAGGTGGATCCCAGCAAGATCGAGGCATTGAGCAAGTGGGATACACCAAGAAGTGCCGCTGATGTTCGTAGTTTCCTGGGGTTAGCGGGATACTACCGGAGGTTTATCGAGGGCTTCTCGAAGATAGCCCAGCCACTAACCAACCTTACGAAGAAGGCCGTGAGGTTCGATTGGAGTCAGAAGTGTGAGGAGAGTTTCCAGGAGTTGAAGAGGAGACTCACTACCGCGCCCGTTCTATCTATTCCCGATCTTACTTTGGAGTTCACCATCTATAGTGACGCTTCAAAGATGGGTTTGAAATGTGTTTTTATGCAGCAAGGGAGGGTCGTAGCCTATGCGTCGAGGCAGCTGAAGCCTCACGAGCAGAACTACCCCACTCACGATCTTGAGTTAGCTGCAGTCGTTCATGCCTTGAAGATTTGGCGACACTACCTCTATGGAGGCAAGTGTGAGATGTTTACCGACCACAAGAGCCTAAAGTACATTTTCACACAGAAGGAGCTGAATATGCGGCAGCGTAGGTGGTTGGAACTGGTCAAGGACTACGATTGCACGATTAGCTACCATCCGGGGAAAGCTAACGTGGTAGCCGATGCCCTTAGTCGGAGGAGTTATGGCCAGTTATCTTGTCTTTTACCGAGCAAGATGTCCTTCTTCGGGAGTTCGAGCGACTACAGCTAGAGGCAGTGGAGCCACCTTCGACAGCCAGGGGTATGTTGACCTCTTTGGTTGTGGGACCGGCTCTTCGTGAGAGGATTGTCGCCGAGCAACCGAATGATCTTTTTCTTTGCCGGATGAAGGAGTTGTCGGAAGCCGGTAGAGTTAGAGGATTCGCAGTCGCATCTGATGGAGCCTTGGTCTTCGAGGGTAGACTTTGTGTTCCGAAGGTGTGGGAATTGCGAAGGGAGATTTTGAGAGAGGCCCATAGTGCTCCGTACACCGTCCATCCTGGTAGTTCGAAAATGTATCAGGATCTGAGGAAGTCTTTCTGGTGGCGAGGTATGAAGTGGCAAGTGGCAAGGTTCGTGAATGGGTGTCTGGTATGTCAGCAAGTGAAGGCTGAGCATCAGAAACCGAGAGGGAAGTTGCAGCCACTTGAGGTTCCCTTGTGGAAGTGGGAGTGCATCACCATAGATTTCTTAATGGGATTGCCAAGGTCGAGGACTGGGCATGACTCTATTTGGGTGATTATGGATCGCCTTACGAAGTCTGCCCACTTTCTGCCAATCCGGACGACTATAAAGGCTAGTCAGTATGCCGAGTTGTTCGTGGATGAGATTGTTAAACTTCATGGAGTTCCCGTGGAGATCGTGTCTGATCGAGATGCAAAATTAACTTGCCAGTTCTGGAAGACCCTGCACCGAGCCATGGGGACGAGGCTGGAGTTCAGTACAACTTTTCATCCTCAGACAGACGGTCAGTCGGAGCGGACGATCCAGTACTTGGAAGACATATTGAGGGCTGTGGTCTTGGACCGTAGCCTAACCTGGGAGAGTGCCTTGCCTTTGGTCGAGCAGACTTACAACAATAGCTACCACTCCACGATCAAGATGGTTCCGTTCGAGGCATTGTATGGACGTAAGGTCCGAACACCCTTGTACTGGGATGAGGTCGGGGAAAGGACAATCATGGGTCTCGAGTTCATTCTTAGAGCTGCGGAGACAGTTGAGGCTATCCGGAAGCATATCCGGTCAGCCCAAGAGAGGCAGAAAGTCTATGCCGACTGGAAGAGGGATGAGCACGAGTATGCCGTCGGAGATCATGTCTTCCTGAAGGTCTCGCCCATGAAGGGTGTGATTCGCTTCGGGAAGAGGGGGAATCTTAAACCGCGTTATATTGGGCCATTCGAGATCCTTGCTCGAGTCCGGAACTTGGCTTATCGGCTGGCTTTACCACCTAGCTTGTCGGGCGTACATGACGTGTTTCACGTCTCGATGTTGCGGAGATACATGCATGATCCCGGTCACGTGGTGGACTTTGGCGAACTGCAGGTCGAGCGAGACCTTACCTACGAGGAGGTACCGGTAGCTATTTTGGACCAGAAGGTCCATCAGTTGAGGAACCGGGCAGTGAGCTTGGTAAAGGTTCTTTGGAGCCGACATGACGAGACGGAGGCGACTTGGGAGAAGGAGGCCGAGCTTCGGAGGCGATATCCGAACTTTGAGTTTTGAGTTCCCTTTGCATTTTCTTGCTTTATAGTTTATTTTTGAATTCCAAGGACGAAATTCTTTGTAAGGTGGATAGACTGTAATACCCCGTTTTATTGTGGATTATTTGGGAGTAATTATTGATTATTGCTATTATTAAATTGTCTTTATTATTATTATTATCATTATGATTATTATTATTATAATTGCTATTGACTGTCAAATTGCTATTATTTATTTATTATTAGTAATGTTGCTATTATTAATATTAATTGTCTTAAATATTATTAATTATCAAATTGTAACTATTTGTCTAAATGCATAATTTTAGTATTAATATTATTATTTTAAAATATTGTGTATATTATAAATATAGATAACCCGGATTAATTTATTACTCGCCGTCGATCGAGCATTCTTATATCGCGTATATTTTATTTTGGCCCGAAGCGACTTAATTCATCGGCCTTGTTGCCATTCTTTTCTATCCAATGTAATTAATTTCGCGGCCCAACTCCTTATTGATTTTTGGACCAAATTGAGATGTTTTGCCTTAGCCCAATTAGAAGATGTTTTATCTTTGGCCCATTTCTTGGCCCAATTCTCCTTTATTATGCGATCAAGTTTGAGTAGAAAAAGATATTTTCCTTCTCCTTCTTTGCATAGACCAAGTCGTCCGCTCAATTTCAGATAGCGATCTTGGAGGAGATTCTCTTGGCTCGATCACGCAATAATCGTCTCCTCACCCCCTCAATTTGATCATTCTCACCTTATCCCTCTCTTCTACTTAAACCGTGCGACTCGATCAGTACTCCCAAAAATCCCTCATCTCCATCAGCAAATCGCACTTCACCATTGATTCCGGTGAATTCACCCTCCCTATTCGAGCAATCAGTCGCCAGCGTCCCCTCATCAAATCAGCGTGTTCCATAGCCGAGGTTGATTCATCTGTCGGAGTAAGAACCTGCAACCAGCCCCGTCCTCCATTGACTCCGGCGAGACCACCTCCGCGCAGCTCCACCGTCGACCCTCAGCAGTCCAATTCCCGAGTTGTGCTTCGAGTTTCAGCCTGATTTTTTGAGAAATTTTGAAGTTTTGGATCCGCTCGTTTGAGTTCCATTCGTTTGGTCCCTTTATTTTCCCCAAGCTCATCAATTTCCCGAAGAAAGGTAATCGGAGAACCCTTACGTTTAATGACGTTCAGAATAATATTATTTCGTTTATTATCGCTCGCGTTGAATTATTGAGTTGGGTTTCGAATTCGGTTTATGTGTTGATTTGTATGTTCGTATATATGTTTTGTATATTCGTGGATCTTCGGGAATGATTGGAACTCTCGATTTTATAAACGTGTATACCGTTATGTTGTTCTGATAAATACGTCTAATTTCGGAGTCCCGTTTTGTTGTTTCGGAGTCTCGTTGTATTATTTGGAGTCTTGAATATCGTATTGTTTAATCGTCCAAAAACCCGGTTTTTACAAGCATTTCGAACTCTGAAAATGTGTTTAATTCATTCATGTTGTAAATTTTCGAACCCCTAGTCATTATTAGTTTAGTCCTGGTCGAGTTCGGTTAATTTGGTCCAACCCTGTTCAGTATTTTCCCAGCTCTGTTCTGTATTCGCAGGGCTCTGTCAATTTTCAAATTTTGGGCCTGTCTGTTCGATTCTTTTCCTGTTCAAAATTGCAGACTTTTCTTATAATTCAATTATCTATGTTTGCAATTAATGTTGCAAGCAAGTGTTTGGCACAGTGGCGTTGGACGCACTCTTTTGTGAGGAGGTTCGGGGTTCGAATCTTGAGACTTGAGACCTTTATTTTTTTTCCTTCAGCCTGTTGTCTCCCAAAACGCGGGGGCCATCAGGCCCGATTTCAGCCCGCGCGCGGCCCAGTTCAGACAACAACCTCAGCCCGCGTCCGACCCTCCTTCAGCCCGCGTGTGCTCAGCCCATATGAGCGTTGGGCCAACCCTATGTTTGGGCCCAATTTCTTTTAATACAACCTATAAATTTTAATTGGCACCCTAAGTTGACTTTTAAGCCTATTTTGAGTTCCGGAAGCCCGTTTTAATACCGAGTTTGATTTTAAAAATTATTTTCAAAGTAGAAAAATTTTGGGAAAAATTATTTTAAGTTCCGAGACCCCACTTTACTTCTCCGAGTCATATTTTTCAAAAATTGGAGAGTTGCAAGTCCACGAAAAATTCGATTAAAACCCGTAAATCTTAATATTTATTAAGTAGGGGTTTTATGTTAAACTATAGTATTGAGATAAATTATTGATAAATTATCTCGCTTAAATGTAGGTGTTTGAGGAGTCGAGCCTCATCCTACGTGCTTGCTTTTGTGTGCCATTTTCTACCGAAATTTCCAGGTGGGTTGTAATTCTAAAAATTACTATGCTTTAAATGTTATTACTGTTTTAATTGTGGTATGATCAAGGTATGCATGTGAATCATGTAGCCTTCGGTGTGAGCTGTATCGGCCACCGGACGGTTTTTCCCCGTAGCTATAGAACGTACCTTCGGGTAGTCTCCCTTGAGAAGCCGTAAGACCAGGGCTAAGGTCCCTCGGCCGGTGATCCTCATTGGTAAGTCCAAGGCAGGACCTTGGCCGGTGGGGTGGTTTACTCCTACTGGCTGGCACTCGATGTAGGACCGGAGGGCATTTGATATATAGTCAACAGTAGTCTATGCGTAAGTGTGCACATGAGTCTGATTATTGTATTATTGATGGGAGAATGGGATAGATTATTGCTTCGTATACATGCTGAGACCATACCTTTTGATTATTGATTACTGTTGATTATTGACATTAATATTTATGGCATAGCGGTGAGCACTACTGTTTCCTAATGTGCTCATCCCCACCTGCTCTTCATGGATGCAGGTTAGATAGAGCGGCACGACGGAGGGGATGCGAGTGGTGGTCTTTAATTTGAATAAATACTTCCGCTTTGAATGAAACTTGGATATTATTGCATTATTATTGACTATTGTTTTTCTAGTATTGGATTATTGATAGAGATTACTTCCCTAGGATCATTATTGGATTATTGATTGATTATTAGGATTTTCTTATTGATTATGAGTATCAATAATTGCCAAATATGGAGAAAATGTCGAGTATTGATTATTGATTTGAAAATGAGTAGCGCCTCGAATATTTTTTTAAAATAATTTCAAAATTTTTTTTCTGATTTTCGGTAAATAAAAGTGGGGCGTTACACATAGATATATTATACATTATTTATATTTGTTTTATTATTAACATGCTTGGAGTTGGTTTTTGTTTTAAACTTTTAATTCTGCATGCTTCTTTGTATTTAATAATGAAAGCCCAATTTTCCAATTAAAAAATCACATGTTGGGCCCAACTTTAGTATAAACATTCCCTAAATAGCAAGGAGCAAGTTATAAAGGTGTACATAACACTTATATGGAGTAGGATCCACTTAATTTTTTATTTTTGATAGGTCCCACTTAATGTGAGTGTTATGTACACCCTATGTACA